ATTAAAACGCTGAGGTATTCTTGTAGTGGCCGGGGTCTTGGCCTCCTATCTGACACCCAGTCGAAGCGTGATGTTAACTGGTATGTGCTTTAGTGGAAATACTGAGGCGTTCATGGAGTGGCGGAGGCCTCCTCTCAGACACCCAGTCGAAGTATATGACCAAGCACTAACTAGTTATTAATAATTAAATTAAATAATGTTTAAAAATCTATTGCTTTACCATTCTTTACTCAGGTTATTAATTCTAAATAATTGGGTTAATGTAAATTTACTTACTTCTTTTGTATATGTTGCGTTCAGTTTTATACTGTTTCTTTTTTAATAAATAAATAAAANTTGTATATGTTGCGTTCAGTTTTATACTGTTTCTTTTTTAATAAATAAATAAAATATTGACGCAAAAATAATTGTACTTGATATCGCTTTAAAATGTACCGACGACAACACGGGGTCGCGGCTAGTTTGTTCAAAATAAATCAAATAGAAGAATCCTGAATTCCTTATTGAATTCAGATCTTCAAAAAGAAGAGAGAATTGAGCCGCTCGCTGGCACGCTTGCTCACTAACTCACTAATGTGCAAGCAGAATTAAGCCTTTTTATATTATTTTTAATTACCCCCTTCATAGGTTGTTGTCGTCAGCGCTTTTAGTGATTCTCAATTTATTGTATTAAATTGAACATAACATGATAGTTATTTTAAGATAAGATGTATAGCGTACAATAATCAATTTAACATGTATATATATATATATATATATATATAATAGCTAGTGTACAACAATGTATATGTTATATCAGATAAATAAATTATTTGTTTGTTTACAATTGGTATTAAATATAGAGTAATCATTTTTTATTGATAATGTAAGATGTGTAATGCAGAGCATTGTGCATATTACGACAGCACAGTTCAAATAAAACTAGTCATAAAGAATTAAAACACCAAATACTCTGTAGTAATGTATTTGATATAGATAGTGCAGGTTGATACAGTCTTACCCACCTGCAATATCTATTTGATTTAGGCATTTCTAAATAAATAATTCTAAAAAATTAAAAATCAGAATAAGCCAGTATTAATCATTTTCATTTTTTGAAATAGTATTTAGATTTCAATAACCCNAAACTTCCATAACTTTTTGAAAAATCAACAAATCAACATAATTTTTTTTTATACTAAAACCTTAAATATTTACCTTTCATTTGATATCATTTTTTTGAAAATCTAACACTTAACCTGCTCATTGGGGGAGATTTAAAATAGCAACTTTTTTACAAAAAATAAATTTTTCAACTTAATTTTTGAAAATGTTCCGGCAATACTGCGTCCTTTAAACATATATCAAATTAAAGTTTATTTTATGTACTATAAAATAAAAAAAAAAAATTTATCCCGACACTTTATCTTCTACATTTAAACTGCTGCCGTAGTTAAAAAAACACTATTTTTTGTTAAAATTTTCGATTTTAAATTTTCAACTTAAAAATTCTATAACTATTTGAAAAATGTATATATCAGCACAAATTTTTTTTTTCTAAATACATTATAAGTACATCTTTCATTTGACATACTTTTTATTAAAATTGGACAATTTCCCCTTATATAGGGGGCGTTCAAAACTTAAAATATTGTAAAAAACATAGATCTTTTTCAACTGAACTTTTGAAAATGTTCCGGAAATACTGCGTCCTTTAAACATATATCAAATCAAAGGTTATGTTATATACTATCAAATGAAAAAAAAAAATTTGTCCCGACATCTTATCTTCTATGTGCAAATGGCTGTCGAAAATTTAAAAAAAAATGTAATGTTTGCGATAAAAATTACATTTTATCGGGATGTTTTTTGTACTTAAAACTGCCATAACTTTTTCAAAAATGAACAAATAAAAATAATATTTTTTTGTATTGAAACCTTAGATATTTCCCTTTCATTTGATATAATTTTTTTTGAAAATCTAACACTTATTCTGCTCACTGGGAGGATTTAAAATAGTAACTTTTTTACAAAAAATAACTTTTTCAACTTAATTTTTGAAAATGTTCCGGAAATACTGCGTCCTTTAAACATATATCAAATTAAAGCTTATTTTATGTACTACAAAATGAAAAAAAAAAATTTGTCCCGACACTTTTTTTTCTACATTTAAACGGCTGCCGTAGTTAAAAAAACACTATTTTTGTGTTAAAATTTTCGATTTTCGATTTTAAATTTTCAACTTAAAAATGCTATAACTTTTTGAAAAATGTATATATCAGCACAAATTTATTTTTTCTAAATACATTATAAGTACATCTTTCATTTGACATACTTTTTATTAAAATTGGACAAATTCCCCTTATATAGGTGGCGTTCAAAACTTAAAATATTGTAAAAAACATAGATCTTTATCAACTGAATTTTTGAAAATGTTTCGGAAATACTGTGACCTTTAAACATATATCAAATCAAAGGTTATGTTATATACTATCAAATGAAAAAAAAAAAATTGTCCCGACATCTTATCTTCTATGTGCAAATGGCTGTCGAAAATTAAAAAAAAATGTAATGTTTGCGATAAAAATCACCTTTTATCGGGATGTTTTTTGTACTTAAAACTGCCATAACTTTTTCAAAAATTAACAAATAAAAATAATATTTTTTTGTATTAAAACCTTAGATATTTCCCTTTCATTTGATATAATTTTTTTTGAAAATCTAACACTTATTCTGCTCACTGTGGGGATTTAAAATAGTAACTTTTTTACAAAAAATAAATTTTTCAACTGAATTTTTGAAAATGAAATACTGCGTCCTTTAAACATACATCAAATTAAAGCTTATTTTATGTACTATAAAATAAAAAAAAAAATTGTCCCGACGACCTATCTTCTATGCGCAAATGGCTACCATATTCAAAAATATGCTATTTTAACAAATTTTTTTTTTTTTAATTTTTTTTTTTAACACTATCTACAGATTTGCATCGAAGCGTTTTTTATGATAGTGATTTTAATCACTGTCAGATATCATCTATATTGAATCCAACTATACCACGACCCCACTGTGCCGCCACCCCACTGTGCTGGGTTTTACATTTTTAACTTTATAATGCTATAACCCATTGAAAAGTCTATGGATCAATACAATATTTGTATAAGAAATAATATTTATATTCCTCTTTCATTCGACATACTTTTTTTTAAAATAACACCATTTCCCTTTATATACATATTCATATATTACACTTATAATTCATAAAACTTGTAATTAGGATATTAATATGGAAATAGGAGATCATGTAACTTTTGGAATAATCCGCCAATTTTTTTTAATTAAACACTATCTACAGATTTGCATCGAAGCGTCTTTTATGATAGTGATTTTAATCACTATCAGATATCATTATACTTGACCCAACTATGCCACGTCACTACTGTGCCGTGACCCACTGTGCTGGTTTTTTTTATATATATGTGACAACAACATTTTAGTTCTGTTTAAAAAACAAACAATTTTTAATTATGCATGATTATGAAATTAAAATCTTCAAATATTAATTCATCAAAATATGAATCAAATTTTTCTAGCTAGTTGGCTTTGGTTTGGTCGAGTTGTGTTTGATTAATTCTTATTTTATAAGAAAATATAAAAATGCTACAAATATTCTGTTGTTGTTCTCTGACATTGTTAAAAACTGTATAAAATATTTTAGGAATTTAAACTTTATGTCTTATGAGTGACTTAGATAATCATATCTAGGGTAGTAAAATTCTAGATTGGCCCTGGGTGTTCGCTTCTTTTCCACTCTGGGGGAAAAAATGCCCGAATCCTTAATCCGGTTCTGGTTTTAGGAAAAATGCGCATTAAATAATATTTTAGTATTTTATTAACTTAATTATCTCTTCAAAAAAATAAAAAATATTTACTTTCGACTTTTTTTTCTTTTGACTTGAAACGTCTAAGATAGTAATATATATTGTAAATATAAAATCATTTATATTGGCTCCAAAGTAATTTACTGTTTTGTCTACTTGTTTGCGTGATTCTGCTTCAAATATTTTCGTTAAACCTTCTTTATAATTATGTATTACATATTTTGACTTTGGCTGTGTAAAAAGTTCAATAAAATTAGAGCCAAAAAATTTTTTATCTGAGGAGTGATTGTGCAGATATTTGCTGATTAAATGCTCTTTATAAAAATATAGTATTTAAAAAAATAAAATAGCTTTATAACTCAAATCATCTTGCCATATCGGGTAAAATATATATGCGTATATATATTTACTTAAAAATATATATACATAAAGGTGCGACAGAACTAACTAATTTATAACTCTTGATACAATTATCATTTTATTGTAATTTTTTAAAAGCTATAAAATACAGTTTACTTACGCATTACTAAAGAATAAATATTGAGCTTTTGTCTGATTTTTATGTAAAATTATTAATTTTTATAAAATAATTAGTAATATCAAAATGTCAAATAACTCAAAAACAGATACACCATTGAAAAAAACTTCATCATTGTCATCTCGAAATAATTGTGAGTTTACTCTCTCAGATGTAATGAAAAAATTAAAACAAATTGAGTCATCTCAAGACCAAAAATTTATATCCATTAATGATAAACTTTCTAGATATGAAACTAATTTCTCTGTTCTAAATAATACTCTAGAAGGAATGTTAAGCTCTATTAACACATTAAAAAATGAAATTGAAAATCTTAAATCTGAAATAAGTTATCTTCGGAGTAAAATTTCCAATATGGAATCCCTTTACTCAAGTAAAAATTTATCTTCTGAAGATATTATTTTAGAAGCACAACATAGGCTTACTAAAAGCAATAATGTAATAGTCTTTAATTTAGCTGAGTCACCAAATGAAAGTTATCAAGAACCACTACAAATTGCAATGGAGCTATTGACTGATTTAAATTTAAATAGTAGAATTACTTTTGCTAAACGTATTGGTAAAGGTAGATCAGCTGGCCGCCCACTTCTTTTAAAATTCGAGAATGAGTTGAGTGTATTGGAGCTGTTAAAAACTAAATCTAAATTGCGATCAATTGAAAAGTGGAAGAATGTTTGGTTAAGTCCTGATCTCACAAGATCTCAACAAAATACTACGAAATCATTACGTGAGGAGTTTCACCATAGACGTGATGCTGGAGAAAAAAATTTGGTAATAAAATATGTCCAAGGAGCTTTATTAATATGAATTAGGCTTTAGAGATTACAATGTGTTTAGAACCGATCGCAGCGTTTCTACTAGTTCATATTTGCGTGGTGGTGGCGTAATAATTTGTGTTCATAAGAAATTTAATTCTTAACGGGTTTTCACTCATATTAATAGTGTTGAACAACTATTTGTACTGGTGGAGGTTGGTGATAACAATAAGTTTTTGTTAGGTACCTGCTATATACCGCCAATGAGCCCATTTAGTACATATGTAGCTCACACTGAGACAGTTGATTATTTGTGCTCATTATTTACCAACACACAAATTATTTTAACTGGAGACTACAATTTACCAAATGTTAAGTTTTCTAATGATGACCTTGGTATAGTATATTTAGGTAATTATTCACAAAATTCTGATATTATTTTTGAGCAATTTTCACATTTAAATTTTTATCAAGTAAATGAAGTTGAAAATGATTCTGGAAGGACATTAGATTTAGTATTTGTATCAAATAATTCTAATTGTGTTAAAAAAAGTGAAGATAATTTAGTTCCTGTTGATAGTTTTCACCCAGCACTTTACATTAGCTCTGACATTACTATAAGACCTAGTCGGTCAGTAGCTATTAATAAAAAATTTAACTTTAAAAATGTAGATTATGTTTTATTAAATAAATTGTTAAATAATTTAAATTGGTCTTACTTGTATGAATGCAATAATATAAATTTCGCTGTCGATAGGTTTTATGAATTGATTTTTTCAGTTATTGAAAAATCAGTTCCAAAAACCTCACCGAGTAAATCGTCGTTCCCAAACTGGTTTTCTAAAGAATTAATATCCTTAATTCGTAAAAAAATAAAATTACACAAGAAATTTAAAAAAAAAGCTTCTTTATCTATTTATGAAGAATTTTCTGTAGTTAGATTTAAGTGTAAAAAGCATTCGAAAATTTGTTATTCTAACTATTTAAATGATATTCAAAAAAACTTAAAAACCAATCCTAAATTTTTTTGGTCCTACGTAAAAAATTGTAAAAAGGTAAATTGTCTTCCTTCTACCTTGGAGCTAGATAATTTTCATTCAGATAATATTAATAATATTGTTAATATGTTTGGCCAATTTTTTGGTTCTGTTTATTCAAATTCTAGTAATATTACAAATGGGTCTTTTAGTAACATATCTGAACGCATTGATATAAAGAATTGCTATCTCTCAATAACTGAAGTTTTTGAGGGTCTATCGAATTTGAATATGAATATGACCATAGGTCCGGACTTTGTTCCTGAGATTTTTCTCAAAAACTGCCGTTACTCCCTTACTCGTCCAATCCATTTTCTTTTATCTTTATCTTTATCATCTGGTATTTTTCCTACGACTTGGAAAACCAGTTATGTTTACCCTATTTTTAAGTCTGGGACAAGATCTAACATACGTAATTACAGATCTATAACTAAAATGAGTATTATACCGAAATTATTTGAAAAGTTGTTAGTATCAAAATTGTATTACACTTTTAGCTCAATATTGGTAAAAAATCAACATGGATTTAGAACTTCTAAATCTACAGTTACTAATTTACTTGTCTACTATTCTGATTTAATGTCTATTATTTCTAAAGGTGGTCAGGTAGACGCTATCTACACTGACCTTAAAAAAGCGTTTGATAGTGTTAATCATTCTATATTAATAAGTAAATTAAGTGCTATGGGAGTCGGTAACCCTATGATAGATTGGTTTTCGTCTTATCTCAGTGGCAGAAAACAAATAGTCAAAATTGGTGATGTAACTTCTTTTACTATTGATGCTACATCTGGTGTACCCCAAGGTGGGCATTTGTCACCTCTTTTGTTTATAATTTTTATAAATGATCTAAGTAATGTTTTCAATCACTGTCAATGTTTATTATTTGCGGATGATTGGAAGTTATACTTACAAATTAACTCATCTAGTGACTTTTTTAAATTACAATCAGATCTTGATAAATTTATATTATGGTGTTTTGAAAATGGTTTACAAATAAATAGTGACAAATGCTCACAAATCACGTTCAGTAGAGTTAAATCTTTTTACAATTATCAATATGTAATTAATGGTTTTAACCTTTCTATAGTTAATCACATAAAAGATTTAAGCGTTTTTTTGTCTTGTGATTTATCTTTTTCGAAACATATTAGCTATATTTACAATAAAGCGTCGCGTACATTAGGATTCATAAGACGTAATTGCAATGAATTTCATGATATTGATTGTTTAAAAACTTTATACTTTTCTCTTGTAAGATCTGGCCTGGAGTACGGTTCTATTATTTGGTCCCCATTTATAGCCAACGATATTAAAAATATTGAATCTATTCAAAAACGTTTCTTAACTTCTTTATCGGGCAAATTTAATAACAATAGGATTAACCAAAAGATTGTTTTTAATAATTTGAAAATGGACTCTCTATTATGTAGAAGACAATATTTAGATGTAAAGTGGATGTATAATTTACTCAATAACAAAATCGATTGTCCCGAAATTTTAGAAAAGATACCATTCAATGTTCCTCAAGTATTTCTTCGTAATAATTCCATGTTTTATATACCTACCCTCACGCAGAACTATTGTAAAAATTCGCCAGTTAATCGCATGCTAAACTTATGTAATTCATTAAAAAATTTTTGATTTTAATCATGATTCGTCAACATTATTATTGTCAACATGTCGTATTACTTTCAAAGTATAATCTTTCAAATGTTCACTTTATATTTATTTACATTCATTTTGTATTTTTTTTAGTTTAATATTTATAACTTTAAAGTTTTAAGTTTTATAGTTTGTTATAATTTGTATAGATTTGTATTATTTCTGTACTGTCTACCCTAATGGGCATAATCATCATCATCATTTTGAATGATGAAATAAATAAATAAATGTAAATTATAATAGAGAGCAAAGGGGATTTGAGGTCAATTTTAGACTAGATTTTTTAGATTTGATATCCGATAGTAAACAAAATCACTAATTTATAGCTTAGAAATAAGTTTTAAAAAAAGTAATATAAATTACAAAAAATAAAAATTTGCCTCAAGTTATATTTTATTAACATACTGGAGTTAAAAATTAATAGTTTTTATTATTATATTGGTATTTTCACCCTGAAATATGAGGCGATCTCTTCCCACATATTTTGACATTGATGTTTACTAGGGTGGTTCTTAAAAATGAAGTTTTGAAATTCATTCGGGACACNTTCTTAGTCATATAAGTCAATTTTTTTTTGTCGAAATTCGTTCGGGACAGCCCCTAGAATTGTTCTGTTAAAAAAATAAGTTGTACAAAATTTGGTTGAAATTGAGTGACATTAACACGTGCCGCAAGAGGGTTGAAAATTCGTCTGTAAGGGTGGTTTTTCAGTTTTCTTCATTTATCTTACAAACTATGTAATTTACAGAAAAAATCATAAAACTTTTTTGTAGAACTATATGTTTTCTATAAAAAATATTATAAAAAAGTATAAAAATATTATAAATAATATTTAGGCCTAGAAATTTAAAAAACAACATATATTTATTTCAACTATTGGAATCAGTTTTATTCGTTATCTTAAGTATTGCAGGCGTACTATTAAACCTATAAAAAAAAGTTTCATACAAAAATTGTTCAAAATTTAATTTTCATCATATTTGTTGTACTTTCAATTTATTATTATTATTAAATTCAGTTAAACTATTCGCGTATTTATTCGCAAAAAATTATTTTATACTAATACACAAAACAAATTAATTATAATTACAGTCACATATTGAAATTACAATATTGTACAAGAGATTATTATATTTTGGTAAAAAGCCCGTATACCTACAATTACTGAACAACATTGTGTAGAAAAAGTAGAAAAATTGTACCAAGACTAGAAAAATTTATAAAAATCAGAACACC